TTTGAAATTGTGACTTTACAAAATCATTATAAATATATAAATCCGGGTTCATAAATTCTTGCATATTAAAAGTTGCATCAAATTTTTATCGAGGGTTTAAATCTTCTAAATCTTCTAGTAGTGTTGCCAAATTCTTGTATTTTTAGGTATATATAAAGTCGCCTGGTAAGTTTTTGTCGCACGTGCGTGAGTAGCGTGAGGTGAGGGGGCGAAAATGAGGGATTCGTGGATTTGGGAGGGCGCGCGTGAGATATTAGAAAAGGTGGTGGATGGAATGTTATATTAAAAGTTTTAGGAGTTAACCAAGCAAAAACCATTTCTTTTATTTGTAAGCATTATTTTGCACATTTAATGTGAAATTTTTTGTAGATTTACAATTCTTATTTGGGACACTTTATGATAGTATCTTCTTTTTTATTAATAATATGTATTTGAGTTTTGATCTGTGATATGACTAAATAAAATTTTGTTGCGATGTACATATTTATTATATGCAGGTAGTGGAAATGCACTTGTTCTTTTATATATTTTTTTTTCTTTTCAACAGATTCACATTCATCATGAGTCGAATAATTTGATTTTGAATTGACAACCATAGGTATTGCGTATGTAAATATATAGAAATTGAGTGGCATGCTTGCAATTCTTTCTTTTATTAATCAAACAAACTAACACGTAAAACCGATCTCCTACAGAAACCCTAACCCTAATCCGCACAAACCTCATTAACCGCTACCCCCACCTTCTCTTCTGGCACCGCTCGAGGCCTGTACTTGTACCAATTCGCGAAGAACAAATAGACGAAAAAACTGCAGAAACACAACACTGCCAGCAACCAATAGAACAGATCCAAATGAGCTCTGTTAATGTTATCCCCCACCAACCACCCCCCACACCCTCCTCCCCCCCTGTTATTCCATTAACGACATGCACCAAAATGGTGCTGAAGAAATACCCCAACGAAAGCGAGCACCAGAGAAACGAGGAAGCGAAGGTCTTGAGAGCTTTCGGCGCCTCCGTGTAGAAAAACTCAAGCAAACCGACGTAGGTGCAGATATCCGCCATGCCGAAGATGAAGTACTGGAAGCTGAGCCAGAATATGGATATGGGCAGCGGCTGCAGCTGCGGGATGGCGTCGAGCATGCCGTGCGTCTCGGCAACGCGCTTGCGCTTGCGCTCGACGAGCGCGGCGGTGGCCATTGAAAGGCAAGCGAGGATGAGGCCGACGCCGATGCGTTGGAAGTGGGTTATGCCGGTGGGGATGCCGGTGAGACGGCGGGCAAAGGGGACGAGGAGGCGGTCGTAGACGGGGATGAGGATGAGCATGAAGAGCATGGGGATGATGGGGATGCTGGCCGGGGGGATGTGGAGGTGGCCGATGAGGGTGGCCATGGTGGTGCCTTGGTGAATGGAGAAGGTCTGGAGCTGGGCGAGGCAGGTGCTCATGATGATGGTGCTGCAGAATATGGGGATTAAGGAGACGATCATCTTGGCGATTTCGACTTGGGTTACACGACATTGTTTCCATTTGTTTAGGGTTTCGTTGGGCCTGTTGGTTGTTTTGATTGCTGCTTTGTCGAGGAGCCTGTGATCACATTATACAAATAATAATAATAATAATAATTATTATTATTATTATTATTATTGTTATTATTTAATTCATATATGAAAGTAATTATATAAAGATGATCTTGTAATGTAATTTCTTCTTCTATATTTATATCCTAACAAAATCTAGAAAGCAGAAATAAAGAAAAGCTGTATGGAGAAATTGACCTGAAGAGATCTCGATGAGGCAGAAATTCAACTCCTTCAGGCTGACTCTCCTGCCTCTCAATCTCATAGAGCTCTCTCGGATCTTCAGGGAGTTTTAGCCTGCAATTCCTTATTGCTGCTATGAACACCTGAATCAGAACCCCCCATTAATATATATTTTGATTTTTATATTCAAAATTTATACTTACAAATTAGTCAAGTCCTAATTCACATCTAGCTCATCTGTACGGAAAAATTTTGTGTACGGACTTCAGACATAGCTCTACATGTGGACTCGCAGTAATATACCGACATGTGTGTAATATCGAACCCACCTAAAAAAATATTAAAGTGAAATCGTGCGTAGACTCTGCAATAACCCCAAAATAATCTTCGCAGTTCTATTTCAATAACAGCGAAATAACACTGTGGAGATTATTTCAAGGTTATTGAAGTGAAACTGCGGAGGTTATTTCAAGATTATTGAAGTGAATTATATGGATATATTTTCAGCAACTCTAAAATAACTCCCGTGATTTCACTTCAATAATATTAAAATAACCTCCGTGATGTAGCACACGTGACGATATATTATTGGAGTCCTAAGTCCACAATCCAGACAGAAAATTTTTCCATCCACACAGTAATTTTTTAACTAATGAACCCACCTGAAAGATCTCAAGGAAAGCGTTATCCTGCTGGATGACCGGAATTCTGTACCTCGGAATCCCACACACGAAGATGAACAGAGCAAGAAGAAGGGCGAGGACGCAGACGGCGAAGCCCAATGCGAAGCTCTTCTCGTCCATGATCCAGACGACGACGGTGAGGCTGATTGTTCCGCCGAGACAGAGGCTGAGCAGCAGCCAGTTGAAGAAGCTGGAAATGTGCCTCGCCTCCCTCGGGTTCTTCTCGTCGAACTGATCCGCGCAGTGCGGCGGCACCGCCGCTTTCACGCCGGCGGAGCCGAATGCCGTGAGGTAGAGCCCCGCGAACATGATGGCCGCGTTCTTGCCGTGGAGTTTGACGCAGTACGAAGCTGGGGCGAAGATGTTGCAGGGAGGAGGAAGGAGGTTTGGGTGGTGTGCTTGGATCATTAGCAGCCCTATGCCCTGTAGCACATGCACATATGAGTTGCTCGTTCAATTGTTCGCTTTGGGCTTTTCTTTTAATTTTCTTTTTTAGTTTTGTTCTTATAATAATTATATAAATAAAAAAAAAGTATTTTAAAAAAATCTTAGGGATCTAAAGAGACATGGTCAAAGATGAACCAATGATGCCAAGCAAGGCCTATCGAGCGAAGATTTGGCCGACCGACAAATAGCTCCAATCAAGCGGCTACACTGAGCCGATCGAGCTTTGTTGATTCAAGGATTACCAATCGCAAACGACCGAGTGGTGGGAACAGTAGAGTTAAAGACTTTTTATTTATTTTTTTATATCTTTTGACCAACTTAACATTTTTTGTGACCAAATTATGTTGTAATGGTTAAATTAGAGTAGGAGAAAAGAGGTAATTATTCATCCCTACAGTGCAGAGCGGATGAATCAGTGATAAAAAACACTATTTTTCTTTTCTTTTACTCTATTACTTAGGTGAGATTCATAAACAAATTTCGAATTCAACAATTATATATATATATATATATATATATATATATATATATGCCACAAACCGTAACATGTTGGTTGGTTGGTGGGGTTTACTGTAAGTCCCCTCAGGTCACGGGTTTGATCTCCAGTGGCGCTGGGTTTTCGAATATTTAGGCACATAGTGCGAACTCTTATCATGGGGCCTAGTGCATGAGAAATCAGTATTTAAACCCCTTGCTAAATACTGATTTCCTTACATATACCTATATATATATGTGGAATGATCATATGCTATTATCCGAGTCTCCAGCCACCCCTAATATGTCTTAATAATTCGAGTACCACCTCTCAGACATGAGGGGTCTTATACCATAGATGTCAACCAACAGTCTGGGGCACGCGAACATAAAAGGAATAGTAATTACCAAGGATTCGATGATGAGAGCCAAGCAAACAACTATATATCTGTTGATGAAAGAGTCGGAGAAAATAGCTATGAGAACAGAGAGCATGTATCCGGTGCCGGTGAAATTGGTGACGATATTCGAAGCGTCGGCGATATCATAATGCATCACAAAGATCATATAACTTATCAGATTCATCGCAAGAGACAAGCTTGCCAGATTCTCCATCCCAAACGTCGCTGCCCGCATGCGACACAAGCAACATTATTCATCCATTCGCTATTTCTACTTCATTTAAAGATCATGTAAATATAAGAAATATTAAGTATGTGTGTGTAAAAATAGACTACCGGTTGGCAGGATGGCTGAGATGATTCCTCCATGAACTCCTCTCTTCGCCGGATTTCCCCTCCAGTCCACCTTCCCCCTTATGAATTCCTCCTTTTCATTATCCAACAAGGTAATTTTCGGCAAGAATGTTCATTTTATGTTTAAAGAGACGAAATTTGCATGCTTTTTAACGAATTTTTATGTATTTAGATATCTAACACTCAAAGTTTGGAGAAAATATTGCATCCGGATTGCTCAATATGTGCGGGGATAGCTTGGATTATTCCAAGCTTTGTTCATGATGGTATGATATGATCCACGCTGTCGTCCACACATCTGGACAATGAAGTAATATAGTCTCCAAAGTTTGATATTTATGTTTATCTTAAGTCTATGCATGAAAAAAATGTATTTTTCTTTCAAGAAAATAGTGAAAGTTTAGGTATTAGATATGTAAATAGATGAGAATTGTGTGATATGTATGTATGTAAATGCTTCTAAAACATATTAAAATAAATTAAAAAATGAAGTCTTTCCACTCAAGTATCAAATCCACTGTATGATACATCAATATATTACAAATATTATTCTGAAAAAAAAAAAAAAACATGAAAAGGTAGTTTGGACGCAAGCTGTGTTCAAACAACGAACACCATGCACGAAGGAAGTGGGAAAAAAACACTGACCTTTAGTGCATCGCGTTCGTTCTTGCGTCTGTTTTTTTAAAGGGAGCGAGATAAAAGAGAGATAATGAGAGAGTGAGAGAGTAATAGAGACATAAAAGATAACATCATGTGTGTCGTTCATTCGTGCAGATTAGAAGTTTACATCCCGAGTATATGATTTGCATGTACAGATCAATCAAATGTAATTTTTTTTTTGTTTTTGAGAGAGAAAGACATGAAAAGAGAGCATGGAGAAAGAGAGAGAGAGAGATACCATTGCTATAATCCCAGGTTTAAACGAAGCTCTGAGGATGGAGTCTGCATGTTTGAATTTATAGATGTTTTTGGCCTGATTAAGAGCTGCTGGAAGTGAGAGCTGTCATCACGATATAGATGTTTGCAGAGTTTAATTACAGACGAACATTTGTTGAGAAATTTATCACTTGGTAGAGACAACAATATTAAGAAGAAAATTATGTCCTAATTAACAGTTTCCAGTAACATTATTTTAATTTGAAAGTTTAATTACGCCAAATGACTCCATATCAACAATGATATTAAGCAAAATGTCTGTTTGGCTGTCTTTTTTTGAAAAAAAAATTGGGTGCTTGTCCGGCAGAGTTTAAGTGAGGGAAAAAATAAAATAAAATAGAATAAAAATACCTTCTCTTCCTAAAAATTGCTACTTTTATTGAGAGGATTCTTGGGATGGACACGTGCGGTTGATATTTAAATTGAGGCAGCAGGAGGATGGGTGTGTCTCGGAAGGCGGCGGCGAGGACGGGTGTCTGGAATTGGAGCGAAAAATAGCAATGGCCGCTATTTGTGGGTGGTTGTAGCAATGGTAGGTGGTTGGGAAAGACGTGGGAACGATATGGAAGGAGATAATGTAATCACTATTTTGGGAGAGATATGTTGCAGGAGCACCATCCAAACTCTCAGATAAAGCCGTCGTAGGGAGAAATTGACTCCAACTGTAGTAAACAAAACTCATGACTAAAACTTAAAGCTAGACATCAAAAATGGAAAAAATATAATAATAGAATAATTAGGAGTGGCCTAAGATGTCCGGCCGACTCCTTGGAATGGAAATACCTTGACCAAACAGGTCCAGACAAACAATTGGGTCGCGGGTTCATTCGTGAGACTGCCACGTTAGGAGTAGGGGGCGCTCCCGCATTAATCATGATGACATAAAAAATTTGGGTGATATAAATGTAAAAACAAACTTTGCTGGTTTTTTAACTATGCATGTTAATATGTTAACATTTTGATTGTTATTAACTTCAAACCTAATTAATTAGGATGTTAAAAATTTTTGTGATATAAGACTTCTAACTGTCACCCTGTGGAGCAGATTACATAGGTTAACACACTACAGGAAAAAAACCCTAAAATTGACGGTAAAACCGACAACCTAAATATACGTTGGAAAAAAAATTCTATTTTGTGACAGCATAACGACAACTTATGAGCTGGGTTATTTGCGACTGCATAACTACAGGACAATTCATCGCTTATCAAAATTAATTATTTTTTCAACTATTTTATTATTTCTTATGCATAATACCCTCGGTTATAAGCAAATATTAACCGACAAACATATTCATCAGTTATTTATGAACTCGCAATTTAGTGGTGTGTTAACCAAAGAGTTTTTTAATAAACAAAGGGAATTTCTCTCAATAATAATTTTGTTTATCGATGACTTCAAATAAATTTATAAGCATTCAGATTGAATCTTTTATACCACCAAAATCGCGTCCCTCTCGGTCTTGCCTTAGTCCTCCCCTTTTTCGGACTCACCTCGGTGTCCTAATCCTCCCCTCTAACGGCGAATCCAATGTTTTTATGCTAACTCTGTTTTGCAGGGTTGCTGAAAACCAAAGACGGACGTAACACTAGATTTACTTTGTATCTTATTAGGGTGTGCTAACTCTGCTTTGCAGAGACGATCATGCAAACTACCTAAAACCTGAATCAAATGATAAACCTCAACTAAACTATTGACAAAAACACAAAACCATAGAATAGTTCTAGATCTCGACAGGATCCTACTGAGCCGTTAAGCATCCGCTACTCTTAAGATAGAACTTTGAAACTCCTTCCTTGAAAATAATGACAATTAGACATTTTTAGGATAAGTTAAAACCTTAATTGAGAGTTTTTTTTACGCATCCCCGATTGCTTAAGTTGTAATTAACTATAGGAGTTTGTCCTTATAAGAAGAAACGAACCCCCCAGAACACGTATAATAACCTTAATTTCTGGTCGTGGGTTTGATTTTGTCGTGTCTTCTTCGCGAGTACGCCTTTGAAGTATCTTAAGCCGATATTATCTCAGACATACATATTGGAGCTATCTACGCAAAGTTTACCTCACGAAAGCTTCCCCACAGTTTCTTTTGTTTGCCCCCATCATCGTATACCTTAGCCCTCCAATCTCATCTCTTTAGACCATTCACACGATCAGAGAGAGAGTTATTCAGAGAGAGAGACTATACGATGGTAGATAAACTGTCGACTCCACACTACACAACAACAACAACGACCGGAAGACACGCGACGACCGAAAGGCTTCGGCTCGGGGCGGAAGCAACTATGAGCACACAATTGAACGCTTCAACCATTTGACCAATCTTATAACAGCCCTTCGATTGCAATTTCTGTACTGTTGCTTTATATGCTCTTTTGAATTATTTTCTTTAAAGGGACATTGCTAAAGACTATACATACCTCCCTTTTCGATTGCATAAAGTAACTCATTTTCCTTAATTTAGCTTTATGTCAGTCAAAACTCTTCACTTACAATCTCAGATTTGGTACAGTGGATTCTCCTCCTCTGTCTGTAATTTTTCTTATCTTGGATCTTCCACATAAAATACGAATGTTATTTCTTTTATTTGTTTCAGTACTTATTGCATCGATTCAATATCAAATTACAAAACATAGTGATGTTCCTTGTCTCTTCTTCTTATTCTGATTGATCCAAAAGAGACTCAAACTCTAAATAAGCCAGCACCTCCCTTGTAGTTAATTTTTTTTTTTTTTTATATATATAAGTTCAAGTTCATTCAAGATTTCAATATTTAATTTTTATTTTAGATTAAACTCTATAAAAATTTCTCTGTTGGATATCAATCATTTGAAGTATTCTCTTCATGTACACGTGGAGGGCAACCATATCAAATAATTAAAAAAATAAAAAAATAAAAAAATAAAAAATAAAATTACAGCTTTATCCAGTAATTTACTATTGTTTATGAGTTGATTCAAAGTCAACAAAATAATATATAATTTGTAAGTATACTTTCTTATGTTACAACTAAATAATAAAATAAGTATTTACAAACTATTCAATGTTATATATATATATATATATATATTGCATTAAATTTACACGTTGCTCCATGAAGTTGACTCACTTGACTTACACAAGTTTATTGGGACTAAATGCATTTGTATATTTCTCAAGAGCATGTCATAATATGGATAAGATAATAAAATAAGAAAAAGCATTAAATTTAATAGGCATTTATAGGGGTGTAAACGAGTGGAACATGAGAGAGCCCAGGCTCAGCTCGTGTTCGACTCGTTTGCTTAGCGAGCCGAACACCGAGCCGTTCACGAACAAGGAATCGTTTTGACAACTTTAATCACGTAGGTATAAGATGTTAAGGATTGAGGCAAGATTTAAAAGATCATTTGAATCTAATTTAATATTTTTTATTCTATTTTCTTAATTAATGCTTTTAATTGATTATAAATCTTTGTAGCCTTGTAGTCAATTAAATTTTTTAAAAATACTACTCATCAAATATATATATCGTTAACTTAGCGAACGAGCAGAACACGTGCTTTTTAACGAGTCGAACACGAGCTATTCGCAGACAACGAGCCATTTTGACAGCTCTATTTACATATGTAGCACCTAAACTTGATTTCTTACATTTATACCATCAAACCTTTACTATCACATAAGAAATAATAGTATTCTAAATTGTAAAAAGTGAAAAGCGCATTGAAAAAGGGTATATATGTAAGAATTAAAGTTTGGATGTTGCATATATAAATACATAAGAATTAAGTGGTATGTACGTAAATCTTCCAGAATTTTATAGAAAAACCCTTTGATTTAATCAGTGTTTAGCATTAAGAAAAAGTCAATGTGGGGCTTAAAAAGGCTGGTCAACGAAATATAATAATAAGAAAGAAAATTAAGTAATGATATATATATTTTGCTAAAAAAATGATTAAGAAGGGTTAGCCTGTTCATTTATTTCAAAATTAGTGTAATATTATTTTTTTTGCATTTTAATATTTGGGGCAGTTGTAGCTTATTGAATAATCTGCTGATAAGTTGATTAAAAATAATCTGCTGATAAGCTAGGTGCGGTGGCAATTACAAATTTTTATTTTTTTTTTGTAAAAATCAAACCATTACCAATAAGCTCCCACCGCACCTAGATAGGTGCATTGTGAAAATGTTGTTTCTTGCATTTTGAAAACGCATAAGCTGACAAAATGTAGTTTACCCAAACAGGCCAGATGCGTTTTCAAAACGCCACCGCACCAAATAAGCTGCCTCAACCGGGACAAGTTCAAAAAATTTGTGGCTTTTTTAATAAAGTTTTTAGAGAGATTTTTACATGCATACCGCTCAATTCTTAAATATTTCGATTTCAGTTCGAGTTTCATCTGAGTCATGACTTCAACAAATTTATAGTCAAACTGAGCGTATGGACAATACAAATCAAATGACACAGAAAGAGATTTAATCAGAGTTCAAAACAGCCTAGTTCGAATACTTAAAAGTTTTGGTATAGCAATCAAGAGGTCAAATGATCTTAAAATTTGGCATGCTTATAGTCAAATTGGGCGTCTCGACGGGAGGAACCAACCAAGCCTAAATTCATTAACGAACTTAAATGTTGTAAAAATTAGGTGTGATCAAATGAATCAAAGTGAACTTTTTAATAGAATGTTTTGTGAGATTGGTCAAATTTACCAAAATTTCTCCCAAAAAAATTATAAATATGTTCTCATTAACAGAAGAGAGTAGGTCGGGCGCTAAAGCTTAACTCTTCAAGTCACGACGATTGTCGTTGCCTGCCAAAGTTCAACGCCAGCCACCAAAGGTCGTCTTCGACCACCACCAGTAATTTATTGCAACCAACTACGGCTATTAATTATAAAAACCAACAAGAGCTTCTGTAGCCAATTATTATTGTTGTAGCCACTAACATTATCTTATAATTCCTTAACTCGGTCAAATCTCGTGTAAAAAGCTGATTATTTCTTACATATCTAATTGTGTGTCTTGGAAACGCCTAATTTTTCTGTACGGACTCCTGACGTAGCTTTACGTGCCGTGGAAGTTATTCCAGAGTTATTTTCATGTTATTTATAGGTTATTTTCAATAATCCTGAATAACCCAGAAATAACCCGCAGTTTTTTTTTTTTTCTGGTTATTTTGAGATTATTGAAAATAATCCATAAATAACTCGAAAATAACTCAGGAATAATCTCCGCTGCACGTAGAGCTACGTCAGGAGTCCGGACAGAAAATACGCTAGTTGGAAATACTTCTAAAATTATTCCACGAAATTATCCAAAATGGACGACAGGAATAAAGTTAAAATATTTAACTTTCTTAAGAAAAACAATGATGTAAGAGAATATTATTTTATAGTATACTGAAATGTAATATCATAAAATAACTTCTTAGGACTAAAAATTCGAATCAAATGACTTTATACTGACGAGTGAGAGGGATAGTAATTCGATGACATTGGAGTAATAGAAAAATTACGTGTTATTCAAGTGTTATTGTATGTTATTAAAATGTTATTATGTTCTCAGAATATTTTCGGTATTATAATAATACTTGAATAACACACAATAATACAAGAATAACATGTAATACCACATGAATAATACGGGAGGAATATTCTCTTATGTTACCAGACATATTTTATTTTTTTTTTCCTGTCACCTCCACATGACGTGATTTCATTGGACTGCACACGTAACTCTACGTGCGGAGTCCTGATGCAATATATTTTCCATTCGGTGGGAATCGAGTTATTGGGCTTCTTTGCATTTTTTTTTAAATAAATGATAAATGTAACAAAATAAGCACGCTAAACTAATTTTAATTTTAAAAATGAATTGATTTGTATTCAAATTATCGAAAATATATTAAATTTTAATCTCCGATAAGACCGATGAAGGCGGCTTTTCTGAGATGGAGATTGAAAGTAAAAATGTGTCTATTTATATCCTAAAATTCTGCCTATAAAATCAAAGTCATGGGAGGACGAGTTTTGGTGAACATATTAGCTGCTTGGTTAGCAAAGGAGATGATAACTAAAAGTATGGTGCCCTGAGTAGGGCTGTCAATTTGGCTCGTTGTTCGTGAACAGCTCGTGTTCGGCTCGTTAAGCAGCTCGTGTTCGGCTCGTTCGTTAAGCCTAACGAGCCGAACACGAACAAATTTTTAAGCTTGAAATGTAAACGAGCCGAACACGAACAACAGTTTGTTCGCTCGTGTTCGGCTCGAAATGACTCGAAAAAAAATTATATAACTTTTTATATAACAATATATTACATATATTATTTATATAATAATATATTATATATATTTATGTCTAAGTTTTTTGTATATATTTGATCCAGGTTCGAATCCCACACTTCTATTTTTCTCAATTTTAGTTTAACGAGCCAATTTCGAGCCGAACACGAGCCGAATACGAATATTTAAATCGAGCCGAACACGAACACACTGTTCACGAGCCGATTTCGAACACGAGCCGATTTCGAACACGAGCTATTTCGAACGAGCCGAACACGAGCCAAGCCTGAGCTCGCTCAAGCTCGGCTCGTTTACAGCCCTAGCCCTGAGTAGCATGACAACGAACAAAGTGACAATCAATTTCAATCTATTTGACACGCTCGTGAAAAACGTCATTATGAGACGGGAGTAAATATTACGTGCACTGGGCGAACATGCACACTGTGATATTTAGGTGGTATTGGGGTGGAATTGCACCTCAATATCACCTTTATACCACCAATATTGCCTCTAGGGCTGTCAAAAAAGCTCGTTGTTCGCGAACAGTTCATGTTCGGTTCGTCCATGAGTTCGTGTTCGATTCGTTCGATAAGTAAACGAGACAAACGCGAACAAATTTTTTTCATTCGGTTACTTAAACGAACCAAACACGAACAGTGATGCGTTCGTTCGTGTTCGAATCGTTATTGTTTGAAATATAAAATAATTATATATATATATATAATTTATTATATTTTAAAACATTAAATTTTATAAATTATAATATATAATAAAATAATAATAATAATATATTAATATACTATAGTAGTAATATACTATAATATAAGTTATATAATTAATATATAATATTATTTTTATATATTAATATTAGGGATGTCAAACTGACTCGTCGTTCGCGAACAGCTTGTGTTCGGTTCGTGTTCGACTCGTTCGTTAAGAAACGAACACGAGCTTATTTCAAACAAACTAAATTTTAAACGAACCGAACACGAACACAAGCTTTGTTTGTTCGTGTTCGGTTCGTTTACACCCCTAATTGCCTCAATACAACGCCAATATCATCGATCCGCACCTAATGCGCACTTATCTCATCCGCACACAATACTTTTTCTTCATAAAGCGGATAGCAAGGGGAGTATGAGGAAGAAGAGAATTGATGGAGGGCCATATACATAGTCACCAGATAAGTCGAAGTATTTATGTATGTGACATCCCAAAATTCATATTTAAGAGAAATTTTCATACATACCTAAACATTTCTATGTATTCACACATCGAACGCCTAAACTTCCATTTTTACATATAGGCCAACCCCACCTATGGCCAAACCATAGGGATGGATTTTTTCCTACATGTAAAAATGAAAGTCTAGGTGTTTGATCTAAAGAAAAACATGAAAGATAAATTAAAATAAAATAATATTTTTTTAATACACTTAAAATATTTAAAAGTTATTTTTAGTGTTTTTAAAGATATGTTAATTTATTTTTTAAATAAAAAAAATTTATGTAAAAAAGTCACTACATAAATATTAAAAAAATTGTTTCCATATAAGCCCTCACTTTGCGGAAAAAAATATTACATCATGTGTTCTCGCGCAGAAATGCATCAGGACTTCAATAATTTGTATCAAGTGTTAGGAGGAGGCAGATCATACATTAAAGTATAGAATTTTTTTTTTAATGAGGCCGATGACACAATTTTATTGGAGTCATTATGCAGTTCTACATCAAGACTCCTGATATAAAATTTATTTCAGTTGCAAATTCAATCATTTCATATGATGAAATATCTCCAATAATGCTTCAAATTAATGGGTTATTTTTTTCATCCAACAACTATAATCAAATTACCTCTGACTTTAAAACGAAGATGAAGGAAGAGGCAAGATGATTGACTCCATAGAAAATATTTAGGGGTGTTAAATTAGGTTGGCAGGTCGGGTTTGGGCCTGACCCTAAATTGACCCAATTCAAAACTACTTAATTTAACTCGACTAGAATATTAAACAGCTTAGAAAATCTAACTCGAAGTTGGCCCGCTTTCGATCCGTCAACTGGTGCCTCACCCATATAACTTGTCTCGCATAAGATATAACAGTTATTCAAGTTAAAATTGGGTCGATTTCCTATTGGTGGGTCAATTTCGAGTTAGCAGGTCAAATTTGACTCAAGTCACCCCTAAATTGAGCTTAAATCTGATTAACTAATAGATTTTAAGCCAAAGCTATAGCATAATTCTATGAGTTCGAGTCGTCTTATTTATTATTAAAAAGAGAAGTTGCTTTCAAAATTATAAATTAATTAATAAAATGATAAAAAAATAAATTAAAAATGAAATAATAAGAAACCACTTAATAAAAATAATCAAAGTACAAATTTTAAAATTTTTAACAGCTTTGCACTTAAGATCTAGCATGTTAATATTTTCTTAAATGTATAACACATTAATGTTTCAAATCGAACGGTCTCATGAGCTAATGAATTGCGTCAAAGCCGACCTAAACTCGACTTATTAGTTGACCGAGCCCTACAGACGAGCCATTTGTTGAGTCAACTCCGAGTCATCGGATTCAATCAACCTAGGTAATTTCTAGATTTTCACTCTGAATTATAGCCTTAGCTTCTTGTGCTGAGACTCCTATCAACTCTGGCCATGCTTCCTTTCCTGAGAATATTCAATTAAGAAATGTTAATTTAGTTTTTAATAAATATTTAATATTCATAAAAAGAGGGATAATTAAATAAATAGCACTTGAAATATTGTTATTTACAAAATTCACACTTAATGATTTTTTGAATCATCGAGTCAATGTATTTACGTGTTTCACAACAAACGAGTGAGAATATGATTTAAAAAAAAAAAAAAACACGAGTTCGAGTTTTATAGTGACTTTTGATATTCGAGTGACAATTTGAAAAATGAATGAAAAAGTGTTGCTAAGAAATGAAAAACTAAATAAATGTTTAGTAATTTCCTTACAAAAATATTGTAACTTATAACTTACATTTATAGAAAATATATTAAAATATAAGTATAAATAAAAATGATTATAATGGAAGAAGACTAATTAGTTTTATCAAATTTCCAATGATCTTATTATGCCACATATTGAAAAAGCAATATAAGGGTTAATTTTATAAATACATAAATTTTAAGGGATGAAATTATCCCAATTAATTTTAATAGACATTTCTTGCACACCATATGAATTATATTTTGTGGCATGATTTATATGATTTAATTAAAAAATTTCTTAAATATTTTGTTCTCTTATATATGCAAGACTTGAACTCTTATTTTATTGCTTATATGATTCTATCAAATAAAAAAAACTTACTCTTTATCAATGTAAACTGCATATTTAAAGGACTCGGGATTTGTTTGAGATAGCTTTCTGCCTGTACTGCATTTCAGACAATCATTACAGCTCCATTTGAGGAACTATTTTTTGTTGCTTTTTAAAAATTTCTATCATGAAAATTTATTGATTTGTTTATGACAAATGAACGAGTATTTAAATTAGCTAAAAATTCAAAAGAGTATCCAGATTTTCATAGAAAATTTTCAATAATTCAATTTACAAATATAAATAAATGCACAATTTAATAAATCAAGTAAGAAAATGAATAAACCACATGATCTAATCTAGCGTCTATAATATATATTTTCTCACAAGAATGCATTCTAAAATAGAAAACAAATATGAAAACAAGAGCAAAAAAATAAGAAGAAAATTGCACTATTAGAAAACTCATAATATAAAATCTTTCATCAATTAATATAATAATATATTAATTTTAAATACACAATTAAATAAATTCTAGCTAATCAAATATTATAGCATACATGATACTAGTTATCATCGAGATTTTATATAGAATATTTAACAAGTTACTTGTTGAACAGTTAAAAAATGAGTATGTTTAAATAAGATTAACTATGTCCAAGTCTAGTTTATTTAGCATTCAAGCTTTTAAAAAAAGTTTCAAGCTTGCTTATTTACTAATTCAAACGTACATGATCGGGTCTTAATCAAATCGAATTTGAGTTGTTCATCGGGTGCATTGGTTCATTTGCAACCCTAGGTGGCTTATGCTTGGATCACCCGATCATATTCTTGTCGCTTTTTAGCTCAATTGGTTTTGGTGTAGTAGAATTTGGAACACGCAGCTTAGATCCTCCCGTCAAGTGGGCCTCACAATTTCTTCGTAGTAGATCTTAGTAGATCTGTCTCTATCGTATTCTTCTCTCTTGAACCCTTAAATCTCTTTAAGATGGGCAAAAACATCATCTTTCTTATCTAAAACACTACTTGATACCAACACATAAAACAATTACAGTAAATTCCCATATATTATATCTCTATCATATTAGCTAAACGTCTCACGCACCATCTACTTCTACCTCTTTACGTCGTAGATGCTCTCATCCAATAAATGCAATGCAATAATTAAGATCACAAAAACCCTCCACCCTGCTGTCAATCACCATCTCCATGAATTATTTCAGAAAAAAAAAATCAGTTTTTTCAGACTGTAATTTAGCCATCCTATCTATTTGAGCGATCATTACATGTAAAATCTGTACATATTGATGGTGTTATCATGATATTTAATCAAAATACCATAATAATATGATCAAATCCTTAACTATTTGTGTCTATCTATCTATGTCCTTGCTTTTTATTTGCTGAAAAATACTGAAAAGGAAAAATGAAAGATGGAAGGAGGAAGGCAACGTTTGAGGCGGAGAAGCTGCCGTCTTTATCAGAACAACCGGTTTGTTCACGGCGATGTATTTCCAAATATTGCGGGCCAGTCGGTGATGGCTACCGGCTTCACCCCCTCCTTTTAAAACCCTCTGTTTCTCGCTCTCTGAATGTTTAATTCAAATAATGGCGTCTTGCCGGATCTCACTCTTCTTCTTCTTCTTTTTATTCGTCCTTTGCTTTCATGAACGGAAGATTTCCGCCGGTCAAGGTATGTCTTTTTTTTTCATACAAAATACAAACCTCTCAGAACATTTGTATTTATATATTTAATTAAGTTAAGGGATCTCGCCGGCGACTGGAGGCGACAGAATCAGGGCGGTGTGTTGGGAAGCTCTGAAGCAGAGTTGAAGAGAAGCAAAAAGAAAGGGCAAAGCCTGCAGAAGGATAAATGTTCTTAATTTGAATGTATTTAGCTCTCTATACATTAGATTAACATTAACTCATTCACTCTTATTTTATATCTAGCTGAGCTTGGGGAAGATTGGTCATCTCATTGGCACGGTTGATGTTAGTTTTGTGTTTTTTGTGTCAGGTAGTGGTCTTACAAGGATGTATGTTGTTTGATCCTGGGACAAGATGTGGTGTGGAGTGATTTCGGTTTGTTTTAGGTGATTGTGGATGAAGTGGTGGTCTACTTCGGTGTGCTTTATTATGGGTATGAAATATGGGATTGTGAGTTATGATGATGGGTGTGTTGTCACTGTATATATGATTGTTAGAAGTGTTTTTCAAGTGAGTTTTTATGGTAATCTTGTAAGCTATAGAATATCTATAATGGCGGAGACCAGGGCTTTGTATTGTCCCTCCATCGAGGATATCTTGTTACTGTTGGTTGATTTTTTAATTTTTGATTATGATATGAGATTGGGTCCTAGGTAAATACAGAAGTTTGTAGTGGATTTGTGATCGGTTTGGTTGCTTACCCTGTTTGCGTGAGTGTGAGCTTTGAGATGCGGATACCTTAGTTTGATGGGTAGCATTGATGTCATATGTTATTTAGGTATTTGAGTAGCCGTTTGAGAAGTTTTGTATGTTCTGAGAGTAGGATGTGCATGTATTCGTTGAGGTAGTTGACTGTGAAGGTTATGTCTGTGTTAGTGATTGTTAGGTATTTGATGCCCTCCCTTAAGTTCAATACCTTGTTGGACTCAAGAGAGGGGCAAACAGAATCTCTATGCGCTGTTGGAAACTCACCAACGGAATTCAAAAGAACTCATGAAGTAGTAACAATAGTCAAAGCCCCCATCTTTTTTTCTTACTCCATTTAAATAATAGAAATATATTACAAACCTCCCAACCAAACTAGGAAGTTAATAACCTATAAAATTACTTTTAGGAAAGCAAATAAACACATAACATAAAGGACAACATAACATGAAAAAGAAAAACTTTAATTAACTTGTAAAACAGGAGCCTTTAATTGAGCTTCATAATTCAAATTTAAAATTTAAAATTTAAATTTTGAATTTGAATTTGAAACTTTAATTAAGATTTATTGTCCTTCCTGATTTGTCTCGGTTTCCAATTCCTCCTCCATAATTTGAAACTTTAATTTGAATTTTGAATTTTGAAACTTTAATTTGAATTTAATTTGAATTTTGAATTTGAAATTAGAATTTATTGCTCTTCCTGCTTTGTCTGGGTTTTCAAATCCTCCTCCATAATTTCATCTGGATTTGCATCAGTATTGCACAGGGTCTGACAGTTGTTGGGGGTCATGCAATGGTGTGTTAGAAATAGTTTTTTTTGTATGATGGAAAGATATAAGTGTTAGTGCTGGCTTGGATTGAAGCATTGTTGTTGTATGAAGTAGGTTTGTGAGATATTTGTTCTGTTGGAGGAAGTAGCCACGTGTAGTGTGATGTACTTGTAGCCCTAGGAATTGGGACATGTTTAAAATTTGTTTGAGGTTAAATTATTGGTTCCATGAATCGCTATTGCTGGTATTGAGCTAAATCTCTAATACCATGATGAAGGAAAAAAGAGAGGGAAAAGCTTGAACAAAGATAAAATATTCTCCATTTGAATGTATATATCTCTTTAAATATTTTGTTACATTAACTCCATTGCTATTATTTTATATATAGCTAAGCTCATGATAGCCTAATAGTTCACGGGTATCAGTCGATTGTATCTTTGCATTTGTTGTGTCAACGATCTTTTTCGTTCTAGGAGGGTCTTTGGGTTGTTGGGGGACCTCTATAGCGGAGGTTAGGTGGGGATCACCAAGGCAAGCTTCTTTAGAGATGTCAAGGTTAGTGTGGGTGGCTTAATTGACTTTGGTTAAGGCGACAACGCCAACAACCACAATTGCGATATTGTGATATTGAGCTTTGTCATGGACTTACTCTGTCGAGGGTTGTGAATGTGCTGACTAAGGAAGTCATGGTAGGTCTAAAAATAACAAGTGGCGACATGACTGACAGCGATATGGTCAACAAGGTCAGGGCAAAGTGCAATGAGATCGAGCGGCACGGTGATGGAAGAAAATATTACATCATGTATTGACGTCAGTTTAGATGAGCCGTCATGTATCATACAACGGCGTGGTCGCACCTGGACCGTCGTCCGGACATGCGGGCGGCCGCATATAATGCTAAAATTTCAACGAATTGCTAGTTAATTGGTTTAGATAGAAATTATGAGAAACGTTTCAAGAAATAACACATATTTTTATTGAATTTATTACATATAAAAATCAATTTTGTAAGGGGAATTTACATAAATAACATACATTTCTTATTACATTTACACATCTAACAGCTAAACTTTCTTAATAAACCTAAGAACTTTAACATCATATCAAAATACCACCGAAATTAACTTTTTTAAATTAAAATATACATTTTCATGTATAAATTTATGACACCAAATTAGTATAATAATTGTAAATATCAATCTTTTGGTGTTAATTAATATGTAAATACATAAGAATTTTCTGGTATTGTATGTATGTAAATTTCCATTGTAATTGTTGTATGGACACAAATTTACACCGACAGGTTAGTTAAACAATTATTCTCTATATAAGGGGTAATTGTGCTATCATGAAGATGGGCTCCTATGAGAGATGTCCAATTACATTATGTAACCCTAAAAATAAAGATACAGTGGCGACATTTTAGTCAGCACATAATTATAGGGTTGGGAGCCCTAAAATGATGTCCGGTCAGATGGGAACGGGAATCTGGGATGACACTCAACCAGATTTTGGGTTTGGCCACTGCATGTCGGGAGTTTGAGGTAGTGGCAACGAGGTCATTTCCACGACAGCTATGACCGAATGGCGGACTGGGAGGCCCCTGGCCAACTACTTTAGATCTGAACGATTTTCATCGTTTGTCCAGCTTGATGGAAGAATGAAAGATTCATCCACTTGAGCTTTGCGCCATTAGACTTGAAGTGAGGTGACCGAGTTCTACTAGAGTTTAGATTGTCTTCCTCGCATCCTATGCAAGCAAGATAGACACAAGGCCCTTTGGTGAGTTCTTAAAATCAGCCTGACTTATATTTTTTTCTGCATTCAGGATAATATTCTTATAACAAATGCTAAAATAATTACATATTATGATATTAACATACGATAAAAAATACATTTTAAATAATCTGAACATCTCAGAGCTTTAAGATTCACGAAATTTGGAAAACAATACCGTTGACTTTGAATCTCACTCGTTGACTTACCCTGCAGGCGACCAATTCGCAAAGGGAAGCATAGTAATTCCCGGCCTCGAGCTCCGCGAGCACTCCACCTTCACTAAAATCTGCACATCCCCGGCCATCCCCGGCGATTCAATCGCCGCCTTCTTCTCCCCTTCCTCCCTCCCCTCCGGCTTCTTCCCCCTCGGCTCCCACTCCCAACCCCACACTCCCAATCCCTCACCACCGCGCACCCTAATCGCTAGCTCCACCGCCGCCTCCACCTCACTCGCCTCCCCCACCGACTTCACACTCCTCTTATCCACCAACTCCTCCTCCCCTTCCCCCGCCTTCTTCTGGCTCCCAATTCCCCCTCCCGGCTACACCGCCGTCGGCCACCTCATCACCACCTCCCCACACAAACCTCCTCTCTCCTCCCTCCGCTGCCTCAGCAACAACCTCCTCGAACCATGCCCCACCAACCCCCCAATCTCCTACTCCAAATCCGAACCCCCTTTCTCCGTGCAACATTCAGACTCCATCGGCACCTTCGTCGCAACCAGTCAAAACTCTCTCCTTTGCTTAAAGAAGAACGTAATAACCCTCGCCGCGATGCCAAACCTCACCCAAATCACCTCCCTGATCCAAACCCGCTCCCCCTGGTTCCATTTCCACCCTAAAGAGCCCTACTTGCCATCCTCCGTCTCCTGGTTCTTCAACAACGGCGCCCTGCTATACACCAACAGCACCCCCAACAGCCCCTCCCGCATCGATCCGGCCGGCTCCAACCTCCCCCAAGGCGGCGCTAACGACGGCGCCTACTGGCTCGACCTTCCCGCAGACTCTGCTTCACAGAACAGAATCAAGGCCGGAAACCTTTCCTCCGCCGAAGCCTACATCCACGTCAAGCCGGCGCTCGGCGGCACAGCGACGGACATTGTTTTCTGGCTGTTCTACCCTTTCAATGGTCCGGCGAGGGCTAAGATGGGGTTCATCAACATCGGGTTAGGGAGAATTGGAGAGCATGTGGGGGATTGGGAGCACGTGACTCAGAGATTCAGCAACTTCGACGGGGAGTTGAAGAAAATGTACTTCTCGCAGCATAGTGCGGGGGAATGGGTGGATGCAGGGGAGCTAGAGTATGCGGAAGGGGGGAAGCGGCCGGCGGCGTATGCGACGCTGCACGGGCACGCGTTTTACAGAAAGGCGGGAATGGTGTTGAAGGGAGAGGTGGAGAAGGGGGTGGGGATAGTGGATGAGACGGCGGAAGGGGGTGCGGTGGGGGACGCGGGGGCGGATTTGGGGGTGGAGGAGCCGGCGTGGTTGCAGTATATGAGAGAGTGGGGGCCGAAGGTGAGGTATGATGTGGACAAGGAGTTGGAGAAGGTGATGAGGTATTTGCCGGAGAGGGTGAAGAAAGCGGTGGGGGATTTGGTGAGGAGGTTGCCGAAGGAGGTGTTGGGAGAGGAGGGTCCGACCGGGCCGAAGGAGAAGGTCAGCTGGAATGGAGATGAGTCCTAGAACATCATCAACCGCCAAAATATTACTCTGGGTGCATTCCGAGTTTAATGATGTGGCACCACATGTTAAGTGGATCCTATCGTTTTTAACACTGACCAATATCAGTGTATTGCGGTGTAGTGCCCCCACCATTGTACTCACAAATTGTGTTAGAAGTCCTGATCTAATATTTTCAGTCGCACCTCTCAATGTGTGTGTATGAATGTATGTATATTGCACTCATCTCAAAGCTAATCCAACGCTTTGTGATTCATTTCAATCAAGATTTGATTAAAATATTCTGATCCAAAGTTTCCCTCTTCCATGTTGCCAGACTTGTGAGTGAGTACATGTGTTATTCTCTATGAAACAACATTGAACTATTCCTTGGCCCTGAAAAATAAAAAATGTACAAATGCAGTTATGAAAATGTTGATCAAAATGAAACCACATTCAAAATGCCCCATCAAACCATTTGTAATCCAAATGTTGAAAATAGTATTGCCTCCAAAAACCAACATTTCTCATCTTTTAAAAGAAGCTTTGAGCTTGTGAGTACAGCCACAAGACTTCTCTCAATCAGAGTAAGCTTCGATCGCTGCAAAGTCTTATCTTTATCTAAGTAAAAATGGAGTTGTATCATCTCCGCAATCAAATCATGGTAAAATCTGCAACCACGGCAATAAGAACGTAACTTAAATTTTGCGAGCCCAAAATTAGAAAAAAAAAAAAGTATAGTGTATAGTAGAGGTCAACCAAATAAAATATCATTGGATGGGGTCAGCTCGGATGATTGGATCGAGTAAAGGTATTTAGTTCGGTCAAGTCATGAGTCAACCATTTATAATTCAAGTTTGAGCACACAATCATATGTTAAGAATGTGAAAATCCAAGCCAACTATAAACTTCCCGCTTGCCATGGAGCTCCAAACCAAAATTTATGCCTATACTATGTATAATAGATCTTCAATTTACATTTTATATTTATACCACCCAAGTCTTTCATCACATAAAAAATATCATCACTTTAACTTTTAAAGAAGTAAAATACATCTTTTCATGCATAGGTAAGGAGAGTTATGCATCCGTAAATTGAATTATAAATGCTAAACATGTAAATATATAGTAATTGAGTGATACATATGTAAATCTTCCAAAAACAATACAAAAGACAATGAATCTAGTCTCAAAAAAATGGAGAAACATCGAAATATATCCAATTCAGTTGATGTCATTTGCTCGATATAAATGTTCCATTTATAATCAATCCCAAAAAAGAAAAAAAATAGATTTTTGAAAAAAAAAACACTTAAAAGAATGGAAGCCTCTACCAAATTCGATCACGTGCTAATTTAAATAATTATTTCACGTAAAGAACGCTTAGGCAACGAATGTTACATAAAATATACGAACAGTACTAATATTTGGACCATGATCTTACAAAAAAAAGGCCAAATAAGAAGCCACAAACTTGCATGAACATGAATAATTGCTAAGCCGAAATAATAATGTATTAAATGAATAGAGCTTTCTTAATGCAAAATGATATTAAGCTTGTTGGGTAAGGGCTCAAGCTTTTTGCTATCAGATGTACAGGATATTGATGACACACAGCAATTCATGTTTTTTCTTCCATATGGAATCTTACAATCCATAGGTGTTGTATGTGATGGTTGAATCTAGCAGACTTTCATGTTGGTTTGATGATTCATGATGGTAAGGAAGAGTCCTTACCATCACATAGTGTTCTATGTGATGGTAAGAACTTTCTAGCTGTTAGAGGACTATTAAGTGCTGGTTTTGTGGTTTTGAAAAGCTTTCTGAGTGAGAAAGAGATGTTGGAAGTCCTCAAGTTCAATTTTCTTCAATAAACCACCACGCAGTCCGCATTTAGCGTAAAAAATTAAATACGTTTTCGGACAAGCTACAAAAACACAGTTTCTAAACGGTTCAAAACGCCGCGGTAATGGATAAGCTGCCCCAAATAGAATCTTATTCTCTTTGCAGAAATTACACAGACAACTAGTTTACCTCGCAATCTCAAATTCATTATGAGTAATATAAAAGAATACTGCTCATACTCAGCTTGATGCCAAAAACCATCCATTGTGGAGAGCCCAGGTGCTCAAAATTGTCTCAGCCAATGGATTTCAATTATAGAGCTATAATAATAACATAAATTACTAATATCCAAGATAATATATATATATA